CGGGACCAACAGCATTCCTAATAAAAGGAACCTTTTGATTTAACTTCGGAGGGTTTGTCGTGTTTTAAATTGGGCAGAGAAACTGTAATACTGGATTTGTAGCATTTGTCATTGCCAAGGCAACTGTGTGAAATCAAACGGGACTACGATTTCCTGACAGCATCAGAAGAAACTGAATTATGAAAGGGCTTTAAAATAGAAATGGCTACTGTATCCCTGCGCAGGCTGGGATACAATGCATCTCCATGATCACGTGATCAAAATTCGAAAGGCTTGGCAACTGGCATGTACTTATGACAGTTGCGGTATCCTGTGTGATCCTCTTTTACGACCTTTTCACGGGCAGAGTCAATGGGGGAAGCCAGATTCATTTAAGCCGATTTACAAACTTAAAGAACTTCACTTAACAGCTGTGGCAAGAAAGATCGTAAAACTGAATTTTCTTGTATTTACGTAACAACATTTTGTAATTGGTGGCCCTCAGTATATCTTCAGTGGAGTTCCATGATTAAATTATTAGTTATCTTGTTTAAAAAAAAATTACTCTTTTATCTATTCTGAACTGAGCACTATTCATCCAGTGAGTGATCCTGGTTTTCAATATTATTTTAAAAAGGAGAGAAACTTCTCAATTTCTTTCACATTTTCCCTGCCTCATTTTTAATTTTACTCCGCTCTATCTTTTAACAGTTTTCTTTTTGGATGGATCATTTAAATTTTTAAATGTTGTATGACCCTTGGAGTCACCCAGGCACAAATTGGGCAGCTATATAAATTGGTTTAATAAATAATACTTCATTGTAATTTGGGAGTTTTATCTATTGGTCTATGAGTGAATAAGGACGGATGGATAGATTGAATGAATTCTTTATCTGAAAAACAAAACAAAACCAGGTTTTGGTGCCTCTAAAGTCTCAACATCTTTTTTGTGTGGTGACCAAAACTGGATGTAGTATTCTAAGTGTGGTCTTACTAAAGGCTTTATAGAGTTGTATGAGTAGCTTCCTTAAGACAAGGAATTGTCTTGATCGTATCCCTCCGTTAACACAATTTAGGATTGCATTGGTGTTTTTGGCTGCTGCTGCACACTGTTGATGGGCCCCAGGGCAGAAAGACATGGAGACATATAATGAATTGTATTAGTAAAGTAGGTTTAAGTTTCCTCTCCTTCTCTCTAACCTCTTGTTTTCAATTTCTTTCGCTCACTGCTTCTCATTCTTTTCCTGCATTTCTCATAACTTGCTTATCCCAAGGGGGAACAACTCAGTGAATCTCGATGCGTGTAATTACACTAGGTGTTAAGAGGTTGTACTTTCCAATATAGAGCCTAGTATTGATGATATATTGTTCAGATTATGAATTTCTGGTATTTTTTTTTTAATGTATTGCTGTTGCACTTTTTTCCTGAAAGCAGTGGGAGATTTGCAAAGCTGCTGCTGTGACATCTGGTTGTTGGGAAAATGTTTTTGGAATCAATGCCTCAAATCTGTTGCTTTTTATCTCTTAGTCTTATGAGTCTGCAGACAAGATAGGCTCTTTTATTCTTTTTAAAATCTGTGTGGAACAACTTTGGGGGGGGGGAGGAAACATGCTTTGTAAAAAAAAAAAGCAAGGAAGAAAAAGAGTGAATCGAAACCACCAACATAAGAAATCCTATGTTCTGGTTATCAAATCTTATGGCCAAGCTGATTATGTCATTAAGCCCTGTAAAAATGTGTTTCTAAGGTGTTCCGACTGTTTTATTCGGCCTCTCAATAGTCTTTCCTCCTCTGTTCGGTCTCTCCACCCCTCATTTTCTACCTTCGCTGAGCTGTTTTTTTCTTTTCCCGTGTGGGGATAAATCCAATTGTATTTCAACCCCAGCTGTTAATAATCAGGGATCTTTATCACTGTTTTCTTTTCTGAGACTCACATATAAACAAGGTTTTCTTATACACTTTATCTATGAACCAGGAAAACATTACCATTTTGGATAGCTCTGTGTGTGTGTGTGTGTGTTGTATTGTATTATATATTATATAATGTTATGTTATATTATATTATAATATATATATTATGTTATTGCATTCCTTTTGTCATTTTCTAACTCTTTCTGTATGCATTCATTCACATTACAGGTTCTTACATAACTTGCATTTATCCATGAAATCTGTTATCCGTCCATCCATTCATCCATCATTTATCTAACATTTATTTTCCAACCTTTATTATCAAACATTTATCTATATTTATTATCGATCATCTCTATTATCAATGTTATCTATCTGTCCAACCATCCATCCATTATTTATCTATCATTTATGTATCATTTATATCTATATTTATTATCTTCTCTACCTATCTGTGCTATCTCCCATCCATCCATTATTTATCATTTATATTTATTATCGATCATCTCTACTATCAATGCTATCTGTACAACCATGCATCTGTTATTTATCTATCATTTATTATCTTATCATTTATCTATATTTATTATCTATCGTCTCTATTATCAAAGGTATCTATCGGTCCAACCATCCATCCAATATTTATGTATCTATCATTATCTATTATTTATATTATCTATTTTCTGTACCCATCTATGCTATGACAGATAAATAGATCTGTCCTCCATCCATTGTTGTTTATATTTATTATCTATCATCTCTATCAATGCAATCAATCTGTCCAACCATGTGTCCATTATTTATATATCTTATCATTTATTATCTTATCATTTATATTTTCTATCTTCTTTATTATCACTGTTATCTCCGTCTAACCATCCATTGATTTTTTTATCTATCATTTATGTATCTTATCATTATTTATATTATCTATCTTCTTTACCTATCTATGCTATATGTCCTCCATCCATCCATTATTTATCATATTTATTATCTATCATCTCTACTATCAATGTTATCTACCTGTCCAACCATCCATCCATTATTTATGTTTCTATCATTATATGTTATTTATCTATATTATCTATCTTCTCTACCCATCTATGCTATCTTATTTATCTGTTCTCCATCCAGCCATTATTTATCATTTATCTACCTTTATTACCTATCTTTATTTAGCTATCCTACTGGCTGAGGAATTCTGGAAGTCCACAAATCCAAAAGATTGGATATCACTGACCTGAGATATTTCTAAACTCAAGAAGGTTTTCCCCCCCCGTACCAGATCACTTCTTAAATGCCATGAGCATTGTCTTCAACCCTTAGTTGATGTCATTGTGGATACTGCTTGCCATTTTCAATCTCTATTTTTAAACTCTTCCTTTCATTTAGTCCATTATTAAGATATGCCATCCAATCAACGTGATATGTAAACAAGTGGAAAGCATTGGAAATATCATCATAGGTTTGCAATTTCTGTTATTTTTAGCATTACATCTCAAAAGAGAAAACATCTTTAGTAGACATATTAACTGTTCAGGGACCGGTTGTGGCTGATAATAACTCCAAACATATTATTAGGTTGGACGGAACTGGAGACCATAAAAGGGTAGTAACTGTGTTTCCATATGTAGAAGCATTTTCTGGGGTTTTACATTTTGGAAATGCTCCTGGTTGAAAGCTGGCTGCATGTTGGACTGTGCTGGGTAATTGGATAGCCACCATCAAGCTATCTAATAAACTAGAAATGCTAAATCTGTGAATGATAATTCCCCAGATACAATAATTGTTCAGGTTTTTTTTCCCAGTATATCTACTACAGTAAGCTTAAACCAGCATAGGGAGTCTTGTGACAGAAGGGTATATTTAGCAAATGGACTAAAAAAATGGATGGGGTATATATTCAGGAGAACTTTAATGGGTGGCTGAAGTTGGTGAGAATTATTGGCAGATGAAAGGATGGATGAATAGAGAGATAATGGATGGATGGAGAGAAAGATGGATGGATGGATGGATGGATGGATGGATGGATGGATGGATGGATGGATAGAGAGATAATGGTTGGTTGAATGGGTGGTTGGATGGATGGATAGATAGATGGATAGAAAGATGGGTAGATGGATAGAGATGGATGGATGGATGGATAGAAAGATACATGGATGGATGGATGGATAGAGAGAGATAGAGAGATAATAGAAGGATGGATAGAAAAATGGATGGATAAATAGATAGAAAGATACATGGAGGAATGGATGGATGGAGAGAAGGATGGATGGATGGATAGATAATAGAAGGATGGATAGAAGGATAGAAAGTTGGATGGGTGGATAGAAAGATAGAAAGGATGGATGGATGGGTGGATGGATGGATGGAGAGATAGATAATAGAAGGATGGATGGATATGGAGGAATGGATGGATGGAGAGAAAGATGAATGGATAGATAGATAATAAAAGGATGGATAGAAGGATAGAAAGATGGATCGATGGATAGAAAGATACATGGACGGATGGATGGATGGATAGATAGAGAGATAATAGAAAGATGGATGGATGGATGGATGGAGAGATAATAGAAGGATGGATAGAAGGATAGAAAGATGGATGGGTGGAGAGATAGCCATACATTTGAAACAAACAAACAAACTTATATAAAAACCCCTATTTCAATGGTTATTGCCACCTAAGTCAGAACTCGTTCCATTTCTCTATTCCTATTTCAGACCAGTTAATTTGATTTGCCACGGTGAAGAATACAGATGCCAGTTTCAGAAATGCTTTTAAATCCGGGGAAGGCACGAAATCACATTTTGCATGACTACAGTATGCCTCCCCCCCAGTTTCTCTCTGAAGATCTATTTCCGGTCTTATGCTCACTAATTGCTTGAAATAATAACCGTAGAATGGATGCCGAGAGAGAGACATTGATTTGCTCGAGTGCCAGAATCTTCCAAGGATCAAATTTGTTGTGTCTTGATGGATGGAGCGTAATATTGGCGTCACCGAAAAGAACCGTTTCTTTGTTGTTTCCCTCCACAACAAAGGCAATCTGTTGCTTTGCCGTTGTCTGAATTGGAGAATGTACTTCACATAGAAGGTTGTTTGCCTTTCAGGTACTACAGTGCCACCATCATGCAGATGTCTGGTGTCCGAGATGACCGCCTGGCCATCTGGCTTGCTGCCCTGACCGCGTTCACTAATTTCATTTTCACGCTTGTGGGAGTCTGGCTTGTCGAAAAAGTCGGTCGGCGCAAACTTACCCTGGGAAGTTTAGCAGGTATGCCTGCGCCATTGTAAGAATGGGCGGGAAGAAACAGGAGCCCACTTGCAAAATGGACCGTAGAGATTTGGTCTCGTGGTTAACGCATCAGGTTAGAAATTAGGAGACAGGGAGTTCTAGTCCTGTCTTAGCTGTGAAAACCAGCTGGGTGACCTTGGACCGATCACCAGGAGACGGGGAGTTCTAGTTCCGCCTTAGCCACGAAAGCCGGCTGGGTAACTGGGCCAATCACCAGGAGATGGAAAGTTATAGTCCTGCCTTAGTCAGAAAAGTCAACTGGGTATGTTTGCTGCCTGGAATTTTCTTTATAAAAAAATAATAAGGCAGGATAGTTAATAGATGGGTAGGTTGACAGCCTCAATGAAGTTGATGTGATTCAGAGCAGAGAATTTCTTGTTAGTTAGAGTGATTAAGTTAAGAGATCCACTTAACAATTGTGGGGCAAATTCATTTAACACACGTTTCACTTAGTCACAGAAATTGTGGGCTCCATTATGGTCGTAAGTCAAGGACTACCTACATATGTGTATGTGTGAATTCTGTACAGTGTTCTGGAATGAAGCTGATCTAGTTTTTGTTGTTGTTTTATAGGCACAACTGTGGCCCTGGTTGTTTTAGCTTTGGGCTTTTTGCTATCAGCTCAAGCTTCTCCACAGGTCACTCTTCACCCCGAAAGCCAGTCGGGCCAAAATTCCACCTGCACAAAATACAGGTAGGTCATTTTCACTTGCTCCTTAAACCTTTTGAGGTTTCTACAGTAGTTCTAAAATGAAATACGGTATAATGAATGTGTCGGCGTTCCAGAAAACCTCCACTCCAGCCAATAATTTTAATACAGTCATCTTCTCAAAAGTTCTGTTTTATTTGGATAGTAAACTGGTACTGTAATGGGCGTGGCACAAAGGTAACACAATGAGAGAAGCAGTAAGAGTCCCTTTATTATCTCCAACTTTGTCCTCAATGTCCAGGTTACCTTTGGGCTGGAGAAAAACTCTCCCAGGAATAGCCTTTGACTGTAGAAAATTCAGTCCAAAACAAGGTACACACAAACTGTAACTTAAAATCCAAACAAACCAAACTGAAGTAATTCGTTTGTGAGGGCGAGAGCAGGAATTTCAAACTTGAAAGCACAGCAAAACTCACACAGTTGGGAAGACGCCAGGAACACAGATAAGCCACGACAATACAAGATAAAGTCATGTTTGCTCTCAACAGCTTGCTGCATGCAGCTTGCCTTTTTTATACATTGTGTTCCCAGCTGCAGCTAATGAAGGGAAGCCACACAACCCATGTTGCTCTCTTCTCCGTTCCTCCCTGCATGCCCTAGGATGGGATGGGCCTGAGTCTTCCTCTGAATTCCCTCTCCCTTGTTCTACCTCTTCCCTGCTCTGCCCAGCCGGCCTTTGCCCTTCCCCAGTTTCTTCTACAGCCAACGGAGCCACACTCCCTGTCAGCTGTTTGGCTTCCTCCTCCGAGTCAGATTCCAGTGGGCATGACAGGCACATCTGGGGAATCCTGAATCTGAAAGTTCCGGGTTTCCTTGCAATAAGTAAAAACTACAAACCCACCCCCTGAACCCATCATTGCATCACATGTCCCAATCACCATCCGTCCCAACTTGAGACATCCCCTCACCCAGGTGCAGAAATAACCTGACCTTGACTGAGAAGAAGAATGCTATTATGTCTTAACCACGTATGCGCCAAGAAATTCCCCCCTCCCATTTTCCCAGGCTCAAAAATGTGGCAGAGTGGAAGCATTTGGTGTCAATATGGCTTCCAAAGCTGACAGAATGTTCACATTAGTTAAGAATGTACAATTAGTCGAGTGTTTTGGGTGCAGAACTCCCGAAGGATTCATTGTTTTCTGGAAGTGACGAATCCAGGAGCACTCTTGGTATCTCTTTGAATATTTTATTTGGCACTATTCAAATATTAGAAAAAAACATATCCTAATTTTGTGTCCACAGTGGAGGTAATAACAACCCAAGAATGATAAAACAAAGACCTCTTTTAACCTAATACTCAAAGCTGCAGTTTTTGATTCAATAGTTACAAAGCTGTTTGGTAGAACATTTTTTTGTAGAAAATTCCTAAAGAGTTCCAAAAAACAGTAATTCTTTAACCATGTATATCTTTTGCCTTAGCTTAATTTCTCTTCTCATGTTATTGCTGTTCCATGAAGGTTTTTTTTTCTTCAGCACGCTCAGAATCGTTCTGAGTCTCTCTGCTAGTTTCTTAAGTAGTTTAGGATGCAATCTTGCTTCCCGCTAAATTATTGTGATGACCCAAAGGGGCGTGGCACAAAGGCAACACAGTCAGTTAATCAATAAGAGTCCTTTTATTAGCTCCAACTTTTCCCCTTATGTCCTGGGTTACCTTCTGGGCAGGAGAAAAACTCTCCCAAGAACAGCCTTTGGCTGCAGAGAATCAAGTCCAAAATGTGGTCAACAAAAACTATAAGTCCAATCAAGGCAAAATGAGGTAATTAGTCTGACCAGGCAGGAGCAAGAATTCCAGATGTGAAGGAATGGCCATAATTCAACCCAGTTGGGAAGACGCCAGGAACACAGATAAGCAAAGTCAACACAAGATAAACTCACATTTGCTCCTAGCAGCTGCCATACGCAGCCTGCATTTCTTTTAAACTCTCCTCCCAGTTGTGGCAAATGAAGGGAATCAGGGCCCTTTCCTCTCCCTAAGCCACGCAACCCACGTTGCTCTCTTCTCCGTTCCTCCCTGCGTGCCCTAGGATGAAGAGGGGGTTGACCTGGGTCTTCCTCTGAACTCTCTCTCCCTTGTTCTACCTCTGCCCAGCCGGACTTTGCCCTTCCCCAGTTTCCTCCACAGCCAACAGAGCCACACTCCCGCTCCCTGTGAATGTAGTCTACAATATTCCATGATATTTCTTTAAAGGAAGCTTAGTATATAATTCTCATTTTGTGCTTCTTGTGTCCCTGCGGTACGTGATTGCTTCAGCATTACTAAATTAAGCTCGAAAACAGAATCAGCAACCAGGTGATAAGTTGGCCGCACAATTTAGGAAAGCAATTTCATGCCTGCGTTTTGTTCAAAGGTGTGCTGTTTTAAGGGCAAATTGCAGGAATCCCTTAGATGTGAACTCTTCAATTATAAACATCATCTACAGATGATTAAAAGTACCTTTACCTCCAATTATGGAGCAAATCAACAGAGAAATTAAGCCTGCAATCTTAATGGATCCGCAAGAATTGTTGAAATTACATCCATAACATCAGTTAGCAACATACGTAAATATGATTTTAGTTTGCCATCCATTAATGAAGTTGAAAGAGAGAGAAATAAAGCTTGGATTCACAACTATGTCAGACTGATTATTCTTCATTGGATGGAAGTAAGCCTTGGTATTACTAATAGGGCTATACAATTTATTGATAATACAACACATAATAGGAAAAATCGGTACCTACATAGATGGTAATTGCTAAAATATGCTGAAATTAGCTTGAGCTGTATGCAGTTTCGTAAACATTATGGATTGGCATGAATACAAGCCAGTAAAGGCTTATGAATTGCTGTCTACCTAAAAGAATTTAGTTGTCCATTGTTTTTCTACTGAGTTGCTTTTTGATGCAGTTTGACTGTTTCATTATGAGGCGGTCTTGATATAGTCTCCATGACATAAAATTTAATAGGAGTGATGTGTGGCCTAGAGTTGGAGCTCTCACCTCACAATCAGGAGGCTGTGAGTTCGACCCTAGGTAGAGGCAGATATTTCTCTCTCTGGGCACACTGAGAATACATCTGCTGAGCAAAACTCCACACTGGCAACAGGAAAGGCATCCGGCCATTAAACACTCTTGCTAGCTCCATTCAGTTGCCCAGACTCCACCCCGCAAGGGATTATGGGGTCGTTAAAAGACAATTAAACTAAATTTACATTAAATTTAGACCTTATATTAGTGACAAACTTCTCAGGCAAGGCTTAACTATTCTGGTTGAATCTGAACTGACTTCTTAGGGGAAATTACTGTACCATTGCATACAATTTAGTTGTTACTAAATCAACGTGGTCTTTCAAAGGAATTCCTCCCAGGAGAGAAACATGGAGTGCTTCTGGGCACCTCACTTTATTTTTTTTTACTTTACATAAGATTCATCCAATCGATAGAAGAGAATACAGGTAGTCCTCAACTTACAGCCACAATCGAGGCCAAAATTTATGTTGTTAAGCAAGAATTTTGAATTTTGCCCCGTTTTACTTTTTTTGCCAGAGTTGTTAAGTGAATCTGGCTTCCCCATTGACTTTGCTTGTCAAAAGGGGATTGGGTGACCCTGGGACACAGCACCGGTCATAAGTATGAAGCAGTTGCCAAGCATCTGAATTTTGATGCTGCTGAAATGGTTGTAAGTATGAAAATAGCACTAGCAACAGACTTATATACCGCTTCCCAGTGCTTCCCAGCTCTCTAAGCAGTTTTACCGAGTCAGCCTCTTGCCCCCAACAATCTGGGTCCTCATTTGACCGACCTCGGATGGACAGAAAGCTGAGTCAACCTTGAGCCAGCCAGGATCGAACTCCTGGCTGTGGGCAGAGTTTAGCCTGCAATACTGAATTCTAACCAGTGCGCCACCAGGAAGATGAATGAGAAGGAATAAGAGAGGGAGGGAGGGAGGGCGATAGCTCTTAGACTTATCTACTGCTTTAAAGGACTTTCCAACTCTATAAGCAACTTAGAATGTCAGCCTATTGTCCCCAACAGTCTGGGTCTGACCTCGGAAGGATGGGAGGCTAAGTCAACCTTTAGAGTCGGTCAGGATTGAACTCCTGACAGTGGGAAGAATTAATCTGCAATCCTGCATTCTAACCACTGCCCCACCAGGAAGAAGAATGAGAAAGGGAGTAAGAGAGGAAGGAGAGAGGGAGGGAGGGAGGGAGGAAGGAAGGAATAGGAAGGAAGGAAGGAAGGAAGGAAGGAAGGAAGGAAGGAAGGAAGGAAGGAAGGAAAATAACTCTTAGACTTATCTACTGCTTTACAGTACTTTCCAACTCTATAAGCAGCTTAGAGAGTTAGCCTATTGCTCCCAACAATCTGGGTCCTCATTTTACCGACCTCGGAAAGACAGAAGGCTGAGTCAACTGTGAATCAGTGAGACTCGAACTGCCAAGCTGCAAGCAGCTGGCAGTCAGCAGAAGTAGCCTGCAGTACTGCACTCTAACCACTGCACCACCACGGCTCTTATAAAATGGTCACAAGTCACTTTTTTTCCAGAGGACAAAAAAATTAGGGAAAAGAAATACTAGGCATGACATGATAGCAGTCTTCCAGTATCTCAGGGGCTGCCCCAAAGAAGAAGGGAGTCAAGCTATTCTCCAAGCACCTGAGGGCAGGATGAGAAGCAACAGATGGAAACGAATCAAGGAGAAAAGCAACCCAAAATTAAAGAGAAACTTCCTGACAGTCAGAATCAGTGGAACGACTTGCCACCAGAAGTTGTGAATTCTCCCAACACTGGAGACTTTTAAGAAGAGACTTGACAATGATTTGAAGAAATGATAGGGTTTCCTGCCTTAGCAGGGGGTTGGACTAGAAGACCTCTGAGGTCCCTTCTAGCTCTGTTATTCTGAGTTCTAAAAACACATTTTATAATGAAAAGCTTATGGTTAAAAAAAAATAAGGATTTGACCCAGAGGTGTTCAGAAGAAGTTTTAAAATGCACGCTGAAGCCATTT